GGTGCGCGCCACCACACCTGGCTACTTTTTATATTTTTAGTAGAGATGGGATTTCGCTATGTTGCCCAGGCTGGTCTCGAACTCCTAACCTCTGGTAATCCACCCACCTCAGCTTCCCAAAGTGCTGGGATTACAGGTGTGAACCACCGGGCCTGGTCAGTCAGGTCATTTTATAAGTGTATTATTTCAAACATTCAAGGAAGAAATGATTTCAATTTTACATTAGTTACACCATGATACAGCAAAAGAGGAAATACTCATCTCATTTCACAAGGAAATCTTAGCACCAAAACCTGATAAGGACTACAGAAGGAAGGAAGCACACAGACCCTAGACACAGATGCAAAAGTCCTAAACAAGATACTAATCATCTAAACCCACCAATGTGGACAGGTGTGGAGGCTCACACCTGGAGTCCCAGCTCTCTGAGAAGCTGAGATGGGAGGATCATTTGAGGCCAGGAGTTGGAGACCAGCCTGAGCAACATCATGAGACCCTGTCTCTACAAAAAATTTAAAATTAGCCAGGCCAGTGGCATGAACCTGTGGTCTCAGCTACTCAGGAGGCTGAGGCAGGAGGATTGCTTGAGCCATGGTCACGCCACTGCACTCCAGCCTAGGCAACAGAGCAAGACCCTGTCTCAAAAAATAAATAAAATAGGCCGGGCGCGGTGGCTCAAGCCTGTAATCCCAGCACTTTGGGAGGCCGAGACAGGCGGATCACGAGGTCAGGAGATCGAGACCACCCTGGCTAACACGGTGAAACCCCGTCTCTACTAAAAAATACAAAAAACTAGCTGGGCGAGGTGGCGGGCGCCTGTAGTCCCAGCTACTCGGGAGTCTGAGGCAGGAGAATGGCGTAAACTCGGGAGGCGGAGCTTGCAGTGAGCTGAGATCCGGCCACTGCACTCTAGCCCGGGCGACAGAGCGAGACTCCGTCTCAAAAAAAAAAAAAGAAAAAAGAAAAATAAAAGAAAATCAATTTATGTAATTTACCACAATAGCAATGAAAAGATAAAAATTATATAATGCTCTTAATAAAAGTATTTGATTATATTCAACATCCATCCATAATGATTTCTTTAAAAAGCCTTTGCAAGTCATGAATAGGATGGAACTTTTTAACTGCATAAAGGGTATCCACAAAAAGTTGCAGCAAACATTGTCCTTAATGGTAAAACACTAGAAACCTTCCTTAAGGTCAGGACAGAACAAGGGTATCCACACAACTATCCATATTCAACACCATACTGTGACAATCGGCACAGTTAGGCAAGAAAAAGAAATAAAAGTATGAGGATTGAAAAGAAACAACTTTGTCTTTTGCAGTAAAATCACTGATTTCTTTCAAAAATCAACTGAATTTCTATATGTTTGCAACAAACATAATAAAAAGCTGACTTTTACTATGACTTCTAAAATACAAGCATCTAGGAATAAAGGTAACAAAGGATATGCATGACAGCAGAATCTCGTAAAACTCAAAATACATTCAAGACCTAAGTAAATAGCTTGGTCATGAATTAGAAGACTTAGTACCATATAAATGTCAATTCTCCCCTACCTGCTCCACAGAGTTAAAAAACTTCCAATTATAAGCCAAATGTGGCTTTGTGTGAAACTTAAGAAGATAATTCTGGCCAGGCGTGGTGGCTTATATCCGTAATCCCAGTACCTTGGGAGGCCGAGGTGGGTGGATCACCTGAGGTCGGGAGTTCGAGATCAGCCTGGCCAACATGATGAAACCCTGTCTCTACCAAAAAAAAAAAATACAAAAAATTAGCTGGGTGTGGTCGTGGGCACCTGTAATTCCAGTTACTCGGGAGGTTGAAACAGGAGAATCGCTTGAACTCGCGAGGCGGAGGTTGTAGTGAGCCGAGATTGCACCACTGCACTCCAGCCTGGTGACAGAGTGAGACTCTGTCTCAAAAAAACAAACCAAAACAAAAACAATCAGACAGGCGCGGCGGTGCACACCTGTAGTCCCAGTTGCTCAGGAAGCTGATGTGGAAGGACTGCTTGAGCCCAGGATTTAGAGGTTACAATGAGCTATGATTGAGTCACTGTACCCCAGTCTGGGCCACAAAGTGAGGCGCTGTCTCTAAAAAACAAAAAGATGGCCAGGCACGGTGGCTCACACCTGTAATCTCAGTACTTTGGGAGGCTGAGGTGAGAGGATCACTTGAGCCCAGGAGTTCAAGACCAGTATGTGCAACATAGGGAGACCCTGTCTCAAAAATAAATAAATAAATAAATAAATAAATAAAAACAAATTACTAAACCTCAACAGAAAAAAACAATCAAGTGGGAAGAGCAAGGTACAAAGTGGCCCAGCGCCTGCTGAAGAGTGGATGGGGTGCTCTGGGACATGGGCACCTGGAGGACACTCTGGGAACCCGGCAGACAGAGGCAACAGACAGGCACTGACACACACCCCGTGGGCCACCTAGGAGCACCATGTGTAATGGTGCTGAGCCAAAAGTGCCGCAAGGAAACCCAGGGCACAGGCCTCCCAAACGACAGCCCAGCATGCCCGGTTCAAGCTCCTGGGGACACACTTCTCCAGCTGCCTCCCAGAAGGAGAACTAAAATGAGACCAGCATCCCAGCCAGGCAAACGGTCAATGTGCGCACTCCACCAGGCTGACACGGGGCGCGCACCCAGACGCTGCTCAGAGAGCAAAGAGATGCTAATAATTGGACGGGGGCATTTTCAACACAGCCGAGAAAGGATGACTATCTCTAAAGAAACTGCTGACACTGAAGCAGAAAAAAAGAGAAAGAAAAACTGGCAAAGGAACAGGAATTTCACTGACAAGGAAGTACAAATGGCCTAAATTAGTAGCCAGAGAAATTCAAGTTAAAACCACCATACCACTTCACACCCACCAGACTGGCAAAAATTAAGTCAGATGAGTGTTGGCACAAATGTGGAGCAGTGGGGACTCTCGTCCCTGTCAGTGGGGGCCGGAGCAGGCACGACCACTCTGGAAAACTGCCCAGCAGTAACGCTGAGTGTGTGCACACCCCCACCATAAATCTTGGTAGCTGGCGGCACACGCTTAAGACAGGCCCTGCCCATCCAGGAAGACACACAGAAGGCAGGCACAAGGATGTCCATAGCAGCACAGGGCTTGTAATTAGCAAAAAAAACAAAAAAACAAAAAAACAACTGGAAACAAGCCAAGGTCCCTTGACAGAAGCAGAGCCGAGGTGCGATCATGCCAGGGCACAGTACGCAGCAGTGAAGATGCCGAAAGCCATCAGCACAGATGCAGCCCAGAAACTTCATGGCTGGTAAAAGTGAGGAGTACAGAAGAACACAGGAGGAACGAAGCAAAAGTAAGTAGCAGACTGTCCAAGCGTGCATGGACAGGTGGCACAAGCACAAAGCAAAGCTGGGGGCAAGCCTGCCTATGAGGGGCCCTATTCCAGGACAGGTAAAGGCAGGAGCTCATTATGAGGCTGAGCCTGTTCTGCAAACAAACTGCATGTGCCCACCCGGACAGCTGCACCGCTCGCCCCTCCGCCCATCAACTCCACTCCACACCAATGGAACAAACCCTGTCCTCCTGCCTACCCTTCCTCCCAACCCTGTCCAGGCCAGAGCCCGGGACCCCCCAGCACTTCGTGCTGCCCAGCCCAGGTGCCCCCATCTACCCCCTGTCCTAACCAGCCTTCTCGAAACCTGCCCTACCCACACCCTCCCCACAGACACCAGAGTGGGCTTTCCAGACCCCTGGAGAATAGAGCACAGCTCCACAGTGGGGCTGATAAGGCCCCCACCTCCCTCGGGTCACAGACTTTGCTGCTCATTCGGAGGGACCCAGGAAGCTGCTGCGGAGGTTCAGCAAGGGAAGGCTATGTGCTGCAGTGCTGGAGCAGGGAGTGCCAACAGCCGGCATGAAGGTTCTGGGGCTGTGGGTGAGGCAGTGACTCACAGGGACAGACAGGGGAAGAGTTGTGGGCCGTGGGACCTGACATTGAGGCAATCGCCAAGACCTGGAAAGGAGAAGCAGCCAGGCCTGGGGAGATGCTCCTGGCTTGGGCTTTGAGGCCCCCGAGGCTTCCCAGAAGAGAGGCAAGTAGGCACATCTGCAGTGCTTGGCCCCAGACCTTGGGCAAATGCTGACCCTTAGGTCTCATATGGATATGGGGTCCTTCGGGAGGCCCTGCCAGGTGCAAGAGTCGTGCTGGGTGGCCATCCTTCCTGTCCATCCTTCCTGTCCACTCAGCATAACCAAAGCCCTGAGGTCCCAACCCTGCGCTCCAGGAGAGCAACCCCAACACCACGCTCAGAAACGCAGGTTGTGGGAGCCACAGGAAAGCACGAGAGGCCCACCTGCAGCTGACTAGTGGTGGAACAACTCAATGCCACGTGGGGTCCCCTCCAGGCATACTGGACGCTTCCAGTGCCTGGAGGGTCCGCTCACCCTCCCATCTCCCCAGGGAGAGCTCTCACTACCCCCACCTGCCTCCTCTTCTAGCCTGCTGTCTATTCTAGAACCAGAACTTTTCCGGAGAGTGTCTCCTTCTCCTCCCTAGCCTGGGAGCTTCCTGAGCAGCAACTACCAAGTTATGAAGAAATTACAAAAGTTTCAAACTGAGCAGGAGTCACAGGGAAGCTGCAAGTCCAAGGAAAGCTGGGCTATGGCCGGAGAGTAAATCTTGTCCAGTCGTTACCGCTGGGCGACCGGGCGCCCCTACCAAATGCAGAGCAGCCAGCCTTCCGCAATGGCAAGATCAACAGGGAGGCGCAAATAGCAGTACTGGCTTGGAGAGGTCTCTAAATGAGAGACAGCGCCAACCAGGTACCCGCGAGGACGACCCCGCCCCGCAGGACAGGGCATCTCCACCGCGCGCTGGACGGAGGATACAACGGAGTCCTGCGCGCCCCGTGCGCCGTGGGTCGCTCCCAGGCCGAGATCTGACAGTGTCGCCGCCGCGAAAGGAAGCGTGTGGTACCCGAGAGAGGAAGCACCCTCGTCGCCCCAGCCCGCACCGCATTGAGGCAGGTGTGCAGCTGTGCAGGTGCGGTTGCGGCGAGCCAGGTGAGCGCCGCCCGGGAGCCCCAAGGTCCGCCGGGCCTGAGCAGCACAGGGTCCTCAGAAGCTGAGCGCGGCCCCGGACGCTCAGGACCTGGGGGACTGGGGCCGCGCTCGCCAGCGCTGTGGGGGCGGCGGCTGCGCGCATCGAATGGGCTGGCGGGCGCGGAAGGGGGCGACCAGGGCTCCGCTGGGGGATCCGGGCCGGGGGTGGGGCGCGCGGAGCCGCGGCCAGGACCCCCCGGCAGGTGCCGGCGGGACA